GTAAGGGCCAAAGAACCAGAGCCAGAACCAGAGCCAGAACCAGAGCCAGAGCCAGAACCAGAGCCAGAGCCAGAACCAGAACCAGAGCCAGAACCAGAACCAGAACCAGAACCAGAGCCAGAACCAGAGCCAGAGCCAGAACCAGAGCCAGAGCCAGAACCAGAGCCAGAACCAGAGCCAGAACCAGAGCCAGAACCAGAGCCAGAACTAGAGCCAGAACCAGAACCAGAGCCAGAACCAGAGCCAGAACCAGAGCCAGAACCAGAGCCAGAACCAGAGCCAGAGCCAGAACCAGAGCCAGAACCAGAACCAGAGCCAGAGCCAGAACCAGAACCAGAGCCAGAACCAGAACCAGAACCAGAGCCAGAACCAGAGCCAGAGCCAGAACCAGAGCCAGAGCCAGAACCAGAGCCAGAACCAGAGCCAGAGCCAGAGCCAGAGCCAGAACCAGAGCCAGAGCCAGAACCAGAGCCAGAGCCAGAACCAGAGCCAGAACCAGAACCAGAGCCAGAGCCAGAACCAGAGCCAGAACCAGAGCCAGAGCCAGAACCAGAGCCAGAACCAGAGCCAGAACCAGAACCAGAGCCAGAGCCAGAACCAGAGCCAGAGCCAGAACCAGAGCCAGAGCCAGAACCAGAGCCAGAACCAGAGCCAGAACCAGAGCCAGAACTAGAGCCAGAACCAGAACCAGAGCCAGAACCAGAGCCAGAGCCAGAGCCAGAACCAGAGCCAGAACCAGAGCCAGAACCAGAGCCAGAACCAGAACCAGAGCCAGAGCCAGAGCCAGAACCAGAGCCAGAGCCAGAACCAGAGCCAGAGCCAGAACCAGAGCCAGAACCAGAGCCAGAACCAGAGCCAGAACTAGAGCCAGAACCAGAACCAGAGCCAGAACCAGAGCCAGAGCCAGAGCCAGAACCAGAGCCAGAACCAGAGCCAGAACCAGAACCAGAGCCAGAACCAGAGCCAGAACCAGAACCAGAGCCAGAATTAGAGCCAGAGCCAGAGCCAGAGCCAGAACCAGAACCAGAGCCAGAGCCAGAGCCAGAACCAGAGCCAGAACCAGAACCAGAGCCAGAACCAGAACCAGAGCCAGAACCAGAGCCAGAGCCAGAGCCAGAACCAGAGCCAGAGCCAGAGCCAGAGCCAGAACCAGAGCCAGAACCAGAACCAGAGCCAGAGCCAGAGCCAGAACCAGAGCCAGAACCAGAGCCAGAACCAGAACCAGAGCCAGAACCAGAGCCAGAACCAGAACCAGAGCCAGAGCCAGAACCAGAGCCAGAGCCAGAACCAGAGCCAGAGCCAGAGCCAGAACCAGAGCCAGAGCCAGAACCAGAGCCAGAACCAGAGCCAGAGCCAGAGCCAGAGCCAGAACCAGAGCCAGAACCAGAGCCAGAGCCAGAACCAGAGCCAGAACCAGAGCCAGAGCCAGAGCCAGAGCCAGAACCAGAGCCAGAACCAGGACCGTGGACATTGGTCAAATCCCCGATGGACCAATACCATGTGTTCTATGTTTGTTGTGTTTGATTCTCTAATCTGTGTTGGCAATTTCAACGGTTTTGTTGAGATTAATATTTGAGATTAAGATGATCAAAAAATTAAAATAAGATTTAATAAAATCTCTAACTCAAGCATCAAAGAAACAAGTATAAAATCTCGATCTTTAACATAATAAACAAGTAACAAAAATCTCTAAATTTGGCAAAATAAGAAGCAAGTGTAAAGTACTGTGTATTCTAGTGCAAGCATTGTGTAGTTACGTGTTAGCATCTGTACTTGTTAGCATCTGTACGTGTTAGCATCTGTACGTGTTAGCATCTGTACGTGTTAGCATCCGTACGTGTTAGCATCCGTACGTGTTAGCATCCGTACGTGTTAGCATCCGTACGTGTTAGCATCCGTACGTGTTAGCATCCGTACGTGTTAGCATCCGTACGTGTTAGCATCTGTACGTGTTAGCATCTGTACGTGTTAGCATCTGTACGTGTTAGCATCCGTACGTGTTAGCATCCGTACGTGTTAGCATCCGTACGTGTTAGCATCGTACGTGTTAGCATCCGTACGTGTTAGCATCCGTACGTGTTAGCATCTGTACGTGTTAGCATCATCTGTACGTGTTAGCATCCGTACGTGTTAGCATCCGTACGTGTTAGCATCCGTACGTGTTAGCATCTGTACGTGTTAGCATCTGTACGTGTTAGCATCTGTACGTGTTAGCATCCGTACGTTAGTTAGCATCCGTACGTGTTAGCATCCGTACGTGTTAGCATCCGTACGTGTTAGCATCGTACGTGTTAGCATCCGTACGTGTTAGCATCCGTACGTGTTAGCATCCGTACGTGTTAGCATCCGTACGTGTTAGCATCTGTACGTGTTAGCATCTGTACGTGTTAGCATCGTACGTGTTAGCATCCGTACGTGTTAGCATCGTACGTAGCATCGTACGTGTTAGCATCTGTACGTGTTAGCATCCGTACGTGTTAGCATCGTACGTGTTAGCATCCGTACGTGTTAGCATCGTACGGTTAGCATCCGTACGTGTTAGCATCTGTACGTGTTAGCATCATCGTACGTCTGTACTAGCATCCGTACGTGTTAGCATCTGTACGTGTTAGCATCTGTACGTGTTAGCATCTGTACGTGTTAGCATCCGTACGTGTTAGCATCTGTACGTGTTAGCATCCGTACGTGTTAGCATCCGTACGTGTTAGCATCCGTACGTGTTAGCATCCGTACGTGTTAGCATCTGTACGTGTTAGCATCTGTACTTGTTAGCATCCGTACGTGTTAGCATCCGTACGTGTTAGCATCCGTACGTGTTAGCATCCGTACGTGTTAGCATCTGTACGTGTTAGCATCCGTACGTGTTAGCATCCGTACGTGTTAGCATCCGTACGTGTTAGCATCTGTACGTGTTAGCATCCGTACGTGTTAGCATCCGTACGTGTTAGCATCCGTACGTGTTAGCATCTGTACGTGTTAGCATCTGTACTTGTTAGCATCTGTACGTGTTAGCATCCGTACGTGTTAGCATCGTACGTGTTAGTACTTGCATCCGTACGTGTTAGCATCCGTACGTGTTAGCATCCGTACGTGTTAGCATCGTACGTGTTAGCATCTGTACGTGTTAGCATCGTACGTGTTAGCATCCGTACGTGTTAGCATCCGTACGTGTTAGCATCGTACGTTTAGCATCTGTACGTGTTAGCATCCGTACGTGTTAGCATCCGTACGTGTTAGCATCTGTACGTGTTAGCATCTGTACGTGTTAGCATCTGTACGTGTTAGCATCTGTACGTGTTAGCATCCGTACGTGTTAGCATCCGTACGTGTTAGCATCCGTACGTGTTAGCATCCGTACGTGTTAGCATCCGTACGTGTTAGCATCTGTACGTGTTAGCATCTGTACGTGTTAGCATCTGTACGTGTTAGCATCTGTACGTGTTAGCATCCGTACGTGTTAGCATCTGTACGTGTTAGCATCTGTACGTGTTAGCATCCGTACGTGTTAGCATCCGTACGTGTTAGCATCCGTACGTGTTAGCATCCGTACGTGTTAGCATCCGTACGTGTTAGCATCCGTACGTGTTAGCATCCGTACGTGTTAGCATCCGTACGTGTTAGCATCTGTACGTGTTAGCATCCGTACGTGTTAGCATCTGTACGTGTTAGCATATGTACGTGTTAGCATCCGTACTTGTTAGCATCCGTACGTGTTAGCATCCGTACGTGTTAGCATCCGTACGTGTTAGCATCCGTACGTGTTAGCATCTGTACGTGTTAGCATATGTACGTGTTAGCATCCGTACTTGTTAGCATCCGTACGTGTTAGCATCCGTACGTGTTAGCATCCGTACGTGTTAGCATCCGTACGTGTTAGCATCCGTACGTGTTAGCATCCGTACGTGTTAGCATCTGTACGTGTTAGCATCTGTACGTGTTAGCATCTGTACGTGTTAGCATCTGTACGTGTTAGCATCCGTTACTTGTTAGCATCCGTACGTGTTAGCATCCGTTACTTGTTAGCATCCGTACTTGTTAGCATCCGTACGTGTTAGCATCTGTACGTGTTAGCATCTGTACGTGTTAGCATCTGTACGTGTTAGCATCTGTACGTGTTAGCATCTGTACGTGTTAGCATCCGTACGTGTTAGCATCCGTACGTGTTAGCATCTGTACGTGTTAGCATCTGTACGTGTTAGCATCCGTACGTGTTAGCATCTGTACGTGTTAGCATCTGTACATGTACTATAAATATTTGTGTCTCTGTCTGTGTCTCCATCTCTATGTCTGTCTCTCTCTGTGTTTGTGTGTCTCTCTGTGTCTCTCTCTGTGTGTCTCTCTGTGTGTCTCTCTCTGTGTGTCTCTCTGTGTGTCTCTCTGTGTCTCTCTCTGTGTGTCTCTCTCTGTGTCTCTCTCTGTGTGTCTCTCTCTGTGTGTCTCTCTCAGTCTCTCTGTGTTTGTGTGTCTCTCTGTGTCTCTCTGTGTCTCCCTCTGTGTCTCCCTCTGTGTCTCCCTCTGTGTCTCTTTGTGTGTCTCTCTGTGTCTCTCTGTGTGTCTCCCTCTGTGTCTCCCTCTGTGTCTCTCTGTGTGTCTCCCTCTGTGTCTCTCTGTGTGTCTCTCTGTGTGTCTCCCTCTGTGTCTCCCTCTGTGTCTCTCTGTGTGTCTCTCTGTGTGTCTCCCTCTGTGTCTCTCTGTGTCTCTCTGTGTCTCTCTGTGTGTCTCCCTCTGTGTCTCCCTCTGTGTCTCTCTGTGTGTCTCCCTCTGTGTCTCTCTGTGTGTCTCTCTGTGTGTCTCCCTCTGTGTCTCCCTCTGTGTCTCTCTGTGTGTCTCTCTGTGTGTCTCCCTCTGTCTCTCTCTGTGTGTCTCCCTCTGTGTCTCTCTGTCTCTCTCTCTGTCTCTCTCTGTGTGTCTCCCTCTGTGTCTCTCTGTGTGTCTCCCTCTGTGTCTCTCTGTGTGTCTCCCTCTGTGTCTCTCTGTGTGTCTCTCTGTGTGTCTCCCTC